AAATAAATAAATAAAATCTTTAAAAAAAAAAAAAAGTTTTATTTAAGTAATCTGAGCACCCAACATGGGGCTCCAAGTCAGGACCCCGAGATCAAGAGTCACAGGCTTTTCCAACTGAGCCAGCCAGGCGCCCCAAAGCTGTGGAGAAATGATGGGACTTTCCATCCACTGGGTGGCCGAGTTGGGAGTCACATGTGTGCCTGACCTCCAGCCTGCACTCTGAGCCGTCACGTCATGCAACATCCTTTCTGGACCAGGCTGGGGGTAACTGTCTCTTCTATCTTCATTTCTGTGTATCCCTCCCTCCTTCATTGCAAAGCTGCTCATGGACCTTTCTTCAGATATTTCCTCCCCTCCCACGTCTGGGGCTCTGGAGTTCACTTGCATATGGGAGATACTGATTCCTATGGTAGTGCTATAAAAAATAAAATGGGAGAACAATCAGAATTAAACTAAGATGCAGTTTTAAGTATAGTTTCATGAGATTAGAGAAATAAGAATGGAAGATCTTGACAAAGACATCTCAGAGAATCCTAAAGAGTCCTTTTCTTGTTTGGGATGTGCAGAAAAGACAGTTTTCGGAAACTGCTATGCGTAGTCAGTCAATACACACTTGCTTTGGAATTTACTTTAAATGTGTATTTGCTTTGTGTCAAGTCCTGCTTTTTCATCTGTTTTAAGAACACAGGTCTATGTAGCTGCTGCATTGAAATAAGGATCTTACTAGCCAACCTGGTGACTTTCTGGCACATTGTAAACCCAACTAACCATCTGAGGGTGTGGCGACTTGCTTGGATACACCAAGATTTCCTCACTCATAGAAATAATGAAAATCCCGGAGATCATTAACCCACACAACCGAAAATAGTGTACTGGAGAAAATACTTGGAAGTCTCTAGTAGCTACAACTTAGAATTTCTGGGTTGATATGTGCTGCATTCTGTGTCTGGATTGTTTTTTTGTTTCTTTGCTCTTTAGGGCCTCTTACCATTCTGTACTTGTCTCTCTCTAGGTTTGACTTGTGCAGATTCGGGCCCGCATTCCGGGATGGTTTGTTCTCGGGACCAGACCTGACCAGAAGTTGACCTCATGAGCACATCAGCCCCTCCCGCTGCCATGCTCCTCCGGAGGCTGAGGCGGCTCTCCTGGGGCAGCACCGCCGTCCAGCTCTTGATCTTAACGGTGGTGACATTCGGCTTGCTGGCCCCCCTAGCCTGTCACCGCCTCCTGCACTCTTACTTCTATCTGCGCCATTGGCACCTGAACCAAATGAGTCAAGAGTTCCTGCAGCAAAGTTTGAAAGAGGGCGAAGCTGCCCTCCACTACTTTGAGGAGCTGCCGTCTGCCAATGGCTCGGTGCCCATCGTCTGGCAGGCCACCCCCCGCCCCTGGCTGGTCATCACCATCATCACTGTCGACAGGCAGCCTGGCTTCCACTACGTCTTGCAGGTGGTGTCCCAGTTTCACCGGCTTCTGCAACAATGCGGCCCCCAGTGCGAGGGGCACCAGCTCTTCCTATGCAATGTGGAACGTAGCGTGAGCCACTTCGATGCCAAGCTGCTGTCGAAGTATGTCCCGGTGGCCAACCGCTATGAGGGCACTGAGGATGATTATGGGGATGACCCTTCGACCAACTCGTTTGAGAAAGAGAAGCAGGACTATGTCTATTGCCTGGAGTCCTCCCTGCAGACCTACAACCCAGACTATGTCCTGATGGTGGAAGACGACGCCGTCCCGGAAGAGCAGATCTTCCCGGTCTTGGAGCACCTTCTGCGGGCTCGCTTCTCCGAGCCGCACCTCAGAGATGCCCTTTATCTGAAGCTCTATCATCCCGAGAGGCTCCAGCACTACATCAACCCAGAGCCCATGCGGATCCTGGAGTGGGTCGGCGTGGGCATGTTGCTGGGGCCCTTGCTAACCTGGCTATACGTGCGGTTTGCCAGCCGTCCAGGGTTCAGCTGGCCCGTCATGCTCTTCTTCTCCCTGTATAGCATGGGCCTGGTGGAACTGGTGGGCCGGCACTATTTCCTGGAACTGCGGCGGCTGAGTCCTTCCCTGTACAGCGTGGTCCCTGCCTCTCAGTGTTGCACCCCCGCCATGCTCTTCCCTGCCCCTGCGGCCCGCCGGACCCTCACCTACCTGTCTCAGGTGTACTGCCACAAGGGCTTCGGCAAGGACATGGCACTCTACTCACTGTTGAGGGCCAAGGGGGAGCGGGCCTACGTGGTGGAGCCCAACCTCGTGAAGCACATCGGGCTCTTCTCCAGCCTCCGGTACAACTTTCATCCCAGTCTGCTCTAGAGTGCCAAGAAATGCCTTTCTGAACTTGGCCGCTTCTCGGTGATTGCGATACCGAGCTCTTTATTTCGACATGGTTGCTTGCAGTTATTTCATTGTTTCATGCTGTTAGGGATCTAGGCACTGAGACAGCTGAGAACGTACACGTCAAGAACCTTGGCTTTCGTAACTCTGGCAGGAGTGGATGTTCGCCCCGAGGCGGGACCCCTCTCCCTCCACACAGCCACACTGCCTCATGGAGTCTGACCCGCCCGCCCAGGGGCCATTTAAATACCAGTTGTATTCTGCAGTCGCGTCAGCTCTGCTTTGTGATCGAGCTTGTGACTGCCAGAAATATTGTGCACAAAGATAATGACCGTTTTAGGATTTTAAGGGTAGGATTTGGTGAAAGGCGAGATCCTTTCGAAGGGATTTCTTTCTCACTGGGCATGAGAATGGATGTATGTCTAGAACATATGTCCAAAGAGGCAGGACCATATTGGCAGGTTCCATTTGTTTCTTTGACCTGGTGTAGTAAAAGCCGTTGGCAGTGCCTGACGACTTGGCGGCAGGTGATCTTGCTTCTGTTACGTGGTGTTTCTTTCCCATGCATCTGTAGCGTACTGATGGTCAGTATTGTTGTGAGAACTTTAAGGCACAGCAAGATCTGGAAGCGCCTTCTGGATCATCAAGGTCAGACTGCTTATGTTCAGTAGTGATTTCGTATTGAACGTTTCTATCATATTCTGATTCTTTGAAAATTGGACATTGAAGAATGATGTAAACTGGGTGAGCTCTTTACTAATAGCATATCCTTTTCCCTAACTTTGCTGGCTAACCGTTCAACCTCATTTTTTTTTTCCTTCTGGGTATCATGATGTTAGAGAAGCAAAAGCGTAGACTGTGAAGTCGGAAGGGCCTGAGTTTTTATTTCAGATCTCTGCCATGTCCTAGTGATGTGCACTTGGGCAAGTCATGACCACTCTGAGTCTCTGTTTTTTCACGTGTAAAATGGGGATGGCCATACCTACCTTTGAAAGTTGCCTTGAGGATCAAGTGACAGAACGTATGTAAAACACCCAGCAAGTGCATATAACACTCAAGTGTATTTTGGATAAAGATATTAGAGATACTGCTTGAAGTGTGTAGTAGGGCCCTAGGGCTCCCACCCGGGGGGGGTAGCCATTCTGGACCAAACTCCTAGAATAAAGGCTGGCTTGTTGTTGTGTTGAAGGAGATGTAGCTCAGCTTTCACCTGGCGCTGCGTCCAGCCAAGACAAAAATGGTTCGTTCGAACCGGAAATGATCTGAGACTGGTCTTGAGCTTATTCCAAGACCTGCGTCTGAAAACTACTCTCCTCCGAAGTTACACTTAAATGTCCCCTGACGATACTTACCAAGCCAGAGGCCAGTAAGTCCCCTCGTGAAGGTGGATGTCGACATCGGAGTTCAAGCGTTGACGGGTCGTTTCATTTGCTTTTGAAATTTCCAGTGAGCTTCCATCCGGAGATCCCCTGGAGAGCACTGAGACAGGACCTGGGAGTTCCACACCATGCTTTGCAGATGGACAAACTGAGGCCAAGGGAGGTGAAACCGCTTCCCCGGGGTCGCTCAGCTGGACAGCAGCGGACTTCCAGCTCCGGCACTTTTCTCTTAAGCACATTCATTTTCTAAATATCCATGCCGTCAGCATCTCTTTTGTAGAACCTGATTGTAACCTGGGCGGAACAATGTCTCTGTAAGCTCCCATGGTAGAAACTCATTGTCCTGTAGGTCTTGGGGAACCAACAAGTCTACGTGTGTGTTGTGTTGTTCTCATGAGACGTCATGTGTCGCTCAGGAATGTCCGGAGTGAGCGGAGCTTCTGGATGACTTGTCAGGATGTTCAGATTCCACTGCTTCATTCATCCCCTCCCCATCCCTGGCTCATCCCATGTTCGCGAACAGAAGCACCCCTGGCCTGCACCTCTAAATTAGAGTCTGTTGCATTAACGATTGGATCTCCTCGGGAATGTTTTTTGCCCAGCAACAGGAAAGTTACATCTAAGCTAGCTAAGCAGAAGATAGGGAATCATTGCTGGTTTATATTTCTGCTCTTTCGGATTCAGTTGTCTACCGCATGCAGATATCTCCTCCCTTGACTCCTTCATTCTGGACGGCTAAAGCCATCTTTGCCTTGTCTAATTTCCTATGTATCCACTAAGATGCCTTCCCCCGTCGATCTTAACTAGAGCCTACTGTCTTTGGACATTTTCTGCAGAGGCAGGCTCAGTTCTGCTGTCTTATCCTCACCCTCTTCTAGATCTCCGTCCCTTTTGTCCCTCATTCCTAGAGTCCAGTTTTTGTGTGCTGTCCTTGGTTAAGACAGCTGGCAGCTTTACACCAAAGCTGAAGTCTCGTTTAATCCTAAGCAAGGGGGCTAGAGGAGAACTAAAGGACATAGGTCACCAGGAGGGTGAAGGTCTCTAACAGAACCTGCTCACCCTTCAGGGTTTAAATAATTGTCAGGCCTAAGAAGCTCCCTGTTGCGACTGGGTATATTTGCATAGACGTATCAGTTCAAATTAGAACACCTGTTCCACTGAGGCATCCTGAGAAGACTTTTGTCATTCTCTCTCATTCCTTTTTTTTTTTTTAAGATTTTATTTATTTATTTGACAGAGGGAGACACAGTGAGAGAGGGAACACAAGCAGGGGGAGTGGGAGAGGGAGAAGCAGGCCTCCCACTGAGCAGGGAGCCTGACGTGGGGCTCGATCCCAGGACCCTGGGGCCACGACCTGAGCTGAAGGCAGACACTCAACGACTGAGCCACCCAGGCGCCCCTCTCTCTCATTTCTGTGGATGGACTTTTCTAATGTGAATAGTATCAAAACTAACACACACACACACACACACACACCCCATTTTGGAGTCCCAAGGTAGCCATTCACAATTATGGGCTGTTGGCTTAAAAATTCATAACTGATTTTGTTGTATTTCTTAAGTGGAAACATTTGAATTGTGCATTCCTTTTTATTGTTGTTTAAAGAAAAAAGGGTGACAATGCAACTGTGCAACTGAAGAATACAAATCGGATTAATATGATGATAGGATTAATCTAATTTACCTTGGATACACTCCTTATTTGGTAGAACTTATTTATTTGGTAACTTAAATTTGGGTAGAGAGGCATTCTAATTGGAGTTGATTGCTGTGGGATTTTTATATACACTACGAAACATTGTGAGCTACAGTAGTACACAATATGAAGTTGGCTAATTTTAAGTCACATGAACCACCTGGATATTTTTATCCCAACTACAGTGAATTTGCTGAGAAATGCTCATTAACTGGCACGGGGTTTGTTTTTGTTTTTAGGTTGGATTTTATTTGGAAAACCTTTGGGGGCTATGTCAAAGATGATTGATAATGTAATTAAAAAGTACTTAATGTATTAGAACTGCAGTGGAAATGTACTGTGGCTTCCAGCTCTCTCCAGGACTTGGGTTGTAGCATTGTCATGAGTCATCACTCTTAAGAATGGGTATTTTTGGCTTAGAACTTAACAGATTTTCTTGATTTTTTTCCCTAATGCCCTACACAGAAATGTGAGTGAATGAACTGATTCAAAAGAGGCAGCTCTACTAATAATCTGGGGTCAAAGCAGATGAAAATCCAAAGCCAAATGATGAATTTATCCAAAAGAAACACAGAACAGATGGTGTACGTATGTAGGAATGGGGTAGCTTTAAGATGTCCGAGAGATGGAAGAGGAAGACAAAGATGTAGAGTGAAGCAGAGGATCTCACATTTGTCACGTTTCTGTGTGTCCCAAACTCCGTATGTAATCAATTCTTTTTTTTTTAAGATTTTATTTTTAAGTACTCTCTACACCCAACATAGGGCTCAAACTCACAACCCCAAGATCAAGAGTCGTATGGTCCACTGAGCCAGCCAGGCGCCCCTGTAATAAATTCTTCCTGTGTGTCCCACTGTCATGAAATCTTTATAGGACCAGCCTATGGAGAATGCATAGGAACTAAATAATGAATAGTCAGTGTTCTAGATAAATAGTTCATTACTTTGCTAGGACCTGGCTTCCTACTGCATTTAGAATAAAATTCAGCCCCCCTACATTCCCTTCCAGGCCAGGTGGAATCTTGCCCCTGCAAATTGTCTGACTTATGTCTTATTACCACTCCCATCCTTGTTCTCCAGGCTCTAACCATGCCAGCTTGCGTTCACTTGCTTAGACTTGCTGCACTGATTCTTACTGCAAGGCCTTTGCGTGGCCATCCTCTCTATCTGGAACACTTTTCCTTTGGCTGAATCTTTCCTATAATCTAGGCCTCAACTTAATTTTAATCCTTCCCAATAGACTTCCCATCCTCTCTAAAGCAGTCGTCCCCCTTCCCGACCCCCAGGCCCATCTATCACTTACCCAGTTTGATTCTCTTCAAAGCTCTTGTCATGACTGAAATTCCCTTATTATCTTGGGATATTTCCCCCTCCTTCTCTCCCCACAGGATATAAACTTCCCAATATCTGGACTCTTCTTTTTCATTTATGCTGTATGCCCTGGAACAATACCTGACACACAGTAGGAAATGAATGAATGAAAGAGGAAGGAAGGAAGGAAAGAAAGGCAAGCAGGAAGGAAGGGAAGAAAAGAAAAAGAAGGGTAGAAAGGGTAGAGGGGTCCACAGTGGAACTGCCTATGGAAAAGAGAAATACTAGTAGAAGAGAAAAGGGACTAGGGAGGAAAATTTAGGAGAGACAGAGTAGAGTCCAGGTAGTGAGGGTTGGTTATGATGTACAATTCTGACTCCACTGAAAAGCTTTTTACATGCATTCCAGGCAGAGGGAATGACAAGCACAAAAAGGAACTTTTGACACCAACCACACAGCTGCTTTTTTGGGTTGTTATGGTTTTATTTCTAGTGTGTGCATTGGGAGTTGTGGGGGCAGGGAGGGTCCTGTGTGTTACTGTCAGGCGAAGGCTGGGATTTTCCCTTTGGGCTGCAATCTTCCTGGTGCTGCCTGTGGGAATCATCTAGATATGAACAGCACGCATGGTGGGTCCACGGCCTCTTCTAGGACTTTTAGGCCAAGAGGCTGGAAAGAGAGTGACAGAACAATCCCCACACTGTACCGGTGAACTCAGGTTATAGGGGTGAGTGGCTCTGGGTGGTAGCAGTGGTCTTTGGCAAAACATTATATGATTTAACACAAACCAAGAATAGAGACGTAAAGCTTCCCAGAGACGAGACGTGAGGAACAGGCCACTCTTAGAGGATCGTTTTTCTGATACATGGCTTTTGGGTTATTTTATGTTCTGTTAGCATGGCTTTGTTTATTTTTTTTTTTTAAGATTTTATTTATTTATTTGACAGAGAGAGAGACACAGCGAGAGAGGGAACACAAGCAGGGGGAGTGGGAGAGGGAGAAGCACGCTCCCCGCCGAGCAGGGATCCCGATGCGGGGCTCAATCCCAGGATCCTGGGATCATGACCTGAGCTGAAGGCAGACCCTTAACCGACTGAGCCACCCAGGCACCCCTAGAGGCCCATACTTCAGAAACACAAGTCAACTAGTCTGTGTAGATTTCTTTCTTGCACCATGTTTGAGCAATTCCTCTTGTCCTTCTCAACCATACTTTGCCAGCCCTAATATATCCAGAATCCATAGCCAGCTAGGGTTCACCAAATGAAGGTTGGCTTCCATCTAGCTCCTCCTGCAATGGAGTTTATGATAAAGGAGGCAGGGTCCCTGGAATCTACACGTGGAGTGCTCTCCTTTTGAACAAGAAGAGGAAAAATCATCTAAATTTTAAAAGTTATTAAAAAAAATAATGGTGTCTATCACATTCATAATCATAGTTCATGTATTATTCTGCAAGGAATTACATCAAGCAAAGTAATCATATGTAAATCTAAATATAGTGTTTTATCTCCATCTTAAAAAATGCCTAAATCACATTAGCAATATTCATTCAGATGACTCAAGTTGTTTTCTCATTTTAAAATGTTTTCCCAGTTTTACTGAGAAATAATTGACATATATCACTGTATAAGTTTAAGGCATACAGCATGCTGGTTTGATTTACATATATTATGAAATGATTACCATGATAGGTTCAGCTAACATCCATCTTGTCATATAGGTACAATAAAAAGAAAAAACAAGAAAAAAACTATTTTTTCCTTGTCATGATTTTTTTTAATTTCACTGAACTATTAGCTGAAACGCCCCACTCTGCAGAAACACACTCCCATATTTGAAACAGAAAAAGCTTTGAAGAGATTAGAATCACATTTTCTTTCGTTTTATCAGTTAACACCAGAGGAAGAAAACTGTTTTAGCCAAATTAACCCCTACAGTCACGCTTAAATATGAATCCTCACACTAAGGCAGAGACACACATTAAAATTCAGAATTACATCTCATACATCAGGAAGGTGTGTTGCAAATTTTGCAGGTTGGTTTCAGTGCAGGAAATAGTTATAGCATAAGGATGCATTTAGCTGCAAATAACAGAATCCAGTCTCCCAGGGCCTCAGGCAATAATGATGTTTGATTGTATCACCTAAAAAGCAGTCTGGAGAAGGCAGGCTCAGTAATGCAATGGTGTCATTCAGGACCCAGATTCTGTCTCTCCTTCTTGTCCACCATCTTTTGCTCATTGGCTACTGCAGCTTCAAATACTACATCCTCACAGGGCTACATTCAAAGATGGAAGAGACTGGGGTAGAAAAAAAACTTTCTCCTTGTGAAGTTCTATGTTTCTTTTCCAGGAAGAACAACTTCAGGACGTCTCCCTGAGACCTCTCCTTTAGTTTCATTGGCCAGATATGGGCCAGGCCCTCTCTTTGACCAGTCCCAGGCAAAAGGAATTTGGATAAACCCAATCCCAAATCCCTCCATTTTAGCTTAGGTGGGGGCTTATCTTTCTTGACCTCAAGGGCTCTCTATCCATCACCCAAATAGAATGGGGCTTTGTTAGCCAGAAAGATGGATGTGGATTGTTCATGGTCAAAATGTGAACAGTGACGGACCTGTTTCTGGAGGAAGTAGTCAAGACTTAATATTTTTCCTGCTCTTGCCGCTTTGTATGATATTTAGAAATTGAAGCAACATGGAGATTTATTTTATTTAGATTAGATTTATTTAACCATATAGTCACAGAGTTATATCATAGGAGCCTTTAAAAAAGATACTGCTACAAGATTGTTTTGGAGTGTCAAAAGCTGTGAGAGGCTTAACTTGTCAAATTCCTAGAAGCCCGTAAGACTTCATTTTCTTCCCAGTATGATAGGACATCTATCTGAGCTGCTGAACAGGAAACATCATGGAAACAATAAGATCATTGTTGCTAGTTTCAAGGAAGTATAGATATTCAAACTCAAACTGGACAAGGGGATTGACCAGTTGACAACTGAAGATCATGCTTTCTACTTATTGTTGAACTGTTCTGAATTACTGATTTGGGGCACACCAAGAGCTTTTTATTTTTTTCCAAATTCACAATTTTAGAAAGTGGTCACATAAATGTCGATAGGTAGTATGAACTGTGCTATAAATTTCTGAAACAGGCAAACATTAATATGTCTACATTAGAAAGTATTTTCCTGTCTGTATTCAGTTTCATGAGAAAACTATGAAATTGAAATCATGTTTCAATTGAAATCAGTGAAATTATG